TTTTTTATTTTTTTTTTTTTTTTTTTTTTTTTTTTTCTCCTGTGTTCTGTGATTGCTGTTTTGGGGTCAAATCAGTGGAATTTTGCCAAGCTGGGTGGAGGTGAGCTAGAAGTAGGCTTCATTCCTGGTCTGATGGTGTTCTTGGGAAGCTTATCATCTCATTTTTCACTGGGAGTAGGAATATGAGGGAGAGGGAAGACTATTGTATATTTTGTACTTACCAAAACCCTGCCTCAGTATTCTTTCTGACTCTAGCCTAAGGGAAAAGCAGCAAGATTTGGTAACTTCCAACTCTTCCCCCATGTAGGCTGCTGTATCGAGTTTTGAAGAAATGGCCCCAGGGACCACATTCAAGCCTGTCATTGGTGACTTCTCAGTAGATCCTAAAAGGTAGCTCTATTTTCTTAGAGCAGAAACTCAAAAGAGATGTCTTGTCCCTTTCTCCTACCCAACAACTCACATTTGAGGTGATATGAAAGAGGTGACTTGAGGGGAAAATGTTTTATGGTAGGCAACTATGGTTAGTTCTACTTCCTCTCCTTTTCCTCTTTTGGTAGTTGTTGGTAGTTACCACACCTGTCTGCAAAACAGTGAAGTGTTCAGCCTGTCAGCCCTTGGCCTCACAGGGAGTTTGACTGTAGTAACCAACCTGATGGGACCTACTCTGCACCATGTCCATTAGCTGACAGTCACTGGAGCAGCTGTGACATGAATCATAGATTTGTTTAGCTTGGAAAAGATCATTAAGATCATAAAGTCCAATCTTAGCCCAGCACTGCCAAGTCTACCACTAAACCATGTCCCAGGTGTCACATCTAGACATTTAAATACCTCCAAGATGATGACTCCACCACTGCCCTGGGAGGCTTGAACCTTTCAGTGAAGAAATTTTTCCTGATGTCCAATCTAAACTTCCTCTGGTGCAACTTGAAGCTGTTTCCTCTTGTCCTATTGTGTGTTACCAGAGAGAAGAGACAAACTCCCACCTGGCTATGACCAGGGACTTGTAGAGAGTGACAAGGCACCTCCTGAGCCTCCTTTTCCCCAGGCTGAGGTCCCCCAGCTCCCTCAGCTGCTTCTCACAGACTTGTGCTCCAGACCCTTCACCAGCTTCATTCCCTTCTCTGGCTGGGTTCCAGCTCCTCAGTGTCTTTCTTGTCATGAGTGGCCCAAAACTGAATCCAGAATTTCTGTTCTGGGGCTGGAATACCTGAGCTGATGAGGTGGGGCAATAATAAAGTGTGTGTACATCTCTCTACTTTCTGATGTTACAGTGAATTCTGTTCAGAATGACTAATTCAGCCTTAATATTTTTTCCCCTTATCTGCTGTTTGCCCTAGTAATACCCAGGTCTGAGCCTCCTTCCACTTCACATCTTGACCCCCAGTCAAAAGGCTGGAAGTACCTTTGCATCTTGGGTTTTTTAAGTGGGATGGTGAGGCACAAAGAGTGTAGTTTATCTCACTGCTTTTTCCAGTAAGATTAGGCAGGCAAGACCTCTGTGATTGCAGGAGGGTGTAGTGTCTCTCCAGCAGGTAGTCCTGCTTTGGCATGGCAGAGAATTGTCCTCTGGAGGGACTTCTCTTCTTCTGATTTATTTTCTACAGAGATGACTACCTTTGACTGGGTGTTTAATTTTTAATAGTAGAGCTAAGAGAGATCAATCCCATTGTAAGGTAACTTTTCCAAAATTACTGAAGAAACAGGACCTCTGGCATACTGTCCCCAAAGATTAGTTTGCCAGCAGTTGGAGGGAAGGGAGGTCAAGAAAGAGAAAAGAGGGTCTAGGGAAGCAATTTCGCTTTATGAAGTTGTCTTTGAAGTTTGACTGGTTTTTTTTTGTTTTTGTTTTGTTTTTTGTGGTTTTTTTTTTGTTAGAAGTGTGAAGCTGTTCTGCATCAAGTTTCTGGAAAACACCAAACTTGGAAACTTTTTTTTTTTTTTTTTTAGTGTCACCCAAGTGGTGCTGTGTTCTGGAAAGCATTACTATGCTCTGGTGAAGCAAAGAGAAACACTGGGAGAGAAGCAGCACAGCACAGCTATTCTGAGACTTGAAGAGCTTTGTCCTTTCCCCCTGGAAGCTCTGCAGCAAGAGTTGAGCAAGTACACCCATGCAAAAGGTCAGCCAAGCTTCTACCTTTGTGCTTCTAGTCTCTTTGAAGTATTGAACTAAATCTGTTGCCTACCTTTTAAGATGAAGAGCTGTAGTGGCTTTTTTCCTCTTTGCTCTCCCCCTCATACATCCAAGTGTTTCTGGAGTGGGATGTTTCAGAAATGTTTATCACTTGTGTTAAAAGAACTCTTTTCTCTGCTATTGTTAGCTTCCAAGAAGCAGCACTGAAAATCAGAGCAAACCATTTGAGATATTTTTTGCATTGGTCTTTACAGGCCAATCCTTTTAGTAGCTTTTGAAAACAGCAGTAGAAAAGCAGAATATACACACAGTATACCCTAATGGTGGACATACTTTGGGTTTGAATTGAGTTCTGAGCTGCAAGGGAATTGAGTCTGGCATGCCTTCATTTCAAAGGTAGTGCCAAGACAGAAAAACTAGAGGTGCTACAAAAATAAAAAAACTGTTTTTCTTTCTCTGCTGAAAAGATAAATATGTATGTTTGTTATGTACCCTTATCCTTCCTTTAGTCTTCAAATGGAGTCAGGAAGAACCACAGAACATGGGTCCATGGTCCTTTGTGTCTCCACGGTTTGAAAAGCAGCTGGGGCTTAAGGTAAGAGGTCCCCAGGGTGTTTTAGTCTTTAAAATGAAGTTTGAACTTCTCCTTGAATGCAAAAGTGCTTATGGTGCTTGACAAAAAAACTTATCCTGCTGCCTAAAGTATGTGTTCTAATTTCAGCTACTTCTGCTCTTTATAGCACCATTGGTGAAGAGCAGGACTGGAGCTTTATTTTACATGGTGTTCAGTCAAAGTAGACAGGATAATGAAAAATCTCAAGTAGGGAAGTAGGAGGAGAATACAAAGGTGCCATTTGTTCTGGCAGATCATGCACTATAAAGTCCTTGGAGCCATAGTCTTTGGGAGATGGGGGATAACTTCCTGAATTACTTCCAGCTGGGGCTGCTGCCCTGTTATCTGACAGCAGGTATCACTGTGGCATCAGGACCTTGAGATGTGATTCTGTCCTTCATTAATCATTTCCCTATGACTCAAATTTCAGCTGAATCTTGTGAGCAGACCTCCTCTACCAGCCCCAGCAGTCGGCATTGGAATCCTCCACAACAAGCAGCAGGAACATGTTCTGACACACACATTTATCTAAGTTTTCAATGAATGGACTGTTACTGATGTCAGTCATGTTTAGTGCCTCCTCCTGTGAAGAACAAAAGCCAGATCCTTAAGACTCTTAGCTCTCCAAAAAAAAAAAAAAAAAAAAAAAAAAAAAAAAAAAAAAAAAAAAAAAAAAAAAAAAAAAAAAAAAAAAAAAAAAAGTGGAATAAGTTTGGTAGTGATGAAGCAATTTTTTCATGTTGGAGAATACCTAACAATGAGAAGCACCTGTTACTACTGATACTTCTTTTTCTCTTATACAATTTTCTAAAAAATGTCTTTATAAAGTTAAAAATCCAGTCTAGGGGACAGATTGATGACTGTGGAATACCTTATACCTTGCTGCTTATTTGCATTTGACAGTTTCCTGGGATAGTGCATGTCTCTTTCTACAGAAGTGTTAGTACTGCTTGATCAACTAAATACTTCCCTATGCCTGGGAATGAGCCATTTCTATAGCAGAATGTTGTGGATTATCTATTTCTTCTTTTCTTGAGGGCCAGGAATGCAATCTGTTATGGTTATTGGTGCTCTTCTCAGTGTCTGAATTGTTAAAACAGGATTTCCATTGGGGGGGACCATGCAAGATGGCTCCTGAAGACTTCAGGTGCCGCTATTTTTCTCACCCAGAGGGTGAGAAATCCCAAGGGATGATTTCAGCACAGCTGTCATCTGAATAAAAGAAAGAAATCAGTCTTTGTTGAGTAACAAAGGATAAAGGACCAAAACACTGAGGTTAAATGGGAGACTAATGAAACCAAATGGAAGACAGGCATCCCAGGCTGACCCCAGTGCTGACTGCCCCACAGCAGCATTCCCTCCACCACAAGATTTCTCCCAGCATTTCTCCTTTCCTGGTTTCAGGGTGAAGTTGGCAACTCCTTGCTCTTCTCAGTTACCTGTGCAAGCTATGCTTAAGTAATCCAAACTCACTATGAGCCAGAGACATTTCTGAAAAGAAACAAGTGGGGTTTAACTGGACCCAGCACTTGTGGATGGAAAGTCATGGTAGGTGAGAAAAAGCAGATCACAGGCAGGGTGTGCATTCACTTGGGGAGACAGCTCCCAAAATCATCTCTGAAGCCTGCTTTAGTATTTCATCCTAGTTAATTGACACACTCATTCATTAACTCCATAGGAACCAGACGTTATCTCCGTAACCTCTGTTCTTGTCGTGTTTCACATCGCTGCATTAGCACATCCATCACAGCAACATGAAGTCATGTTTCTCCCACTTTGCTCTAGCAAACTGCACAACCTCCTGCACATCCTGAACAGCTTTATCTAATCAAGGCACATTCTGCTTTAGATTTCTGCTGACAACTAGAAAAAGGAGGCTGAAGAGTAACGTTGCTTTGGCTGCAGCTGTAGCCAAGGAAGTTGTAGAGCACCAGCCTTGACTGCACATTGATGATTACATAAACCCACAGTTTTAGTGCACACAAGGGAAGAACAGAGCCCATGGTTTGAGTTTCACGTGGCCCAAACCTGACCTTGTTATGCACCATTCCCCCACAGGCTGTGCAGGGACCAACCAAATAAAGGATGCTCAAGTGTTCTGACCCTGTTTGATCCTCCTGGTGGGAGACAAAGCCATTTCTGGTGTGCTGCTTGGCTCAATGCCCCCAGCCCCATTGGTGTGCCATGAAGCTCCCCAGGGATCTGGGGTAGGAAGGGAGAGCTTGAGCACAGCTTTCCTGGGGTAGGAAGGAAGAGCTTGAGCACAGCTTTCCTCAGTCAGCTGCCACAGACTGCCTGCAGAACACTGCTCTTGCATGATGGATAACAGCTCCCAGGAGCAAGGCAAAGCGCGTGCCGACTGAGGGCCTGACGCTGTTTCTCCCAGCAATTCTGGATGCACACATTCCATCTGTGTGCCTTGCTTTTCTTTGCATGCCAGCTGGGGCATCCTGCACAGTGCTGGATTGCTTTTGCTTTGGGGAAAAGAGAAGCAGGAATTAGAATGGAGCCATAGAATATCCTGAATTGGATGGGACCCACAAGGATCATCGAGTCCAGCTCCGGGCCCTGCACAGGACACCCCAAGAGTCACACCCTGTGCCTGAGCTGCTACACAGGCTGAGTAACAGAGCAGGTCCCAGTCCTTGGACAGGAAATTCTGTGGATCATTAACACAAGGAGAGGTGAGGTTTATGTGCTGTTAGATAGCAAGGAGCTAACTAGAGAGAGAGTTAAATAATTAGTGCATTGTGATGTGTCAGGATTTTCAGAGAGAAGTGCAGGACTAGTAGGGAAAAAAGGAAAGACATGAAGGAATGAGCTCTTAGGTTGAGCCATTCATTAAAGGGAGCAAAAGCTCTCAGAAAGCAAATACACCAGGAAAACATATTAAAACAAGTATTCTGGCACCAATGATGTTATTTTAGATTTAAAAATAGAGTCTGAACTTTGAAGATGAAAATTTCTGAACACAGTACTATTTTGAATAAGCAAAGAAAACAGTACTGCATTTTTATTTTTTTGCTTCTGTCAGTGAAGAAGGTGACATAGAAACATTTGTTCAGCACACCTGAAATGGTGTATCTGTGTGAGTATGGACTGAAGAAATCTCTGGACTTTTTATCAGTCATCAAAACAATGGCCAGTGACTTAGAGACAGGAGGGATTGCTAACACAACCTGTAATTTAATGAACTTCTCAAATAAGTATGACTAAAAATCTGAATGAAGGGTGATTACAAGAAACTTCCTGAAGCTTAGCTACTAACCCAGCTATTATTTGGAGATTATGATCTACAAGTACACTGCCAGGCATGATAACTATGGGCATTTGTCAGACTGTACAAGAACTCTAGGTGAAAGTAATTGCTATGGAGTTCCTCATTAGTATTTGTTAAGTTATGAGTATATAGAACTGGAAGAAAAAACCTTTCTAAGTGATTTCAGATAAGGGAAGCTATTGAACAAAGATGCTTAGGTATTGTAGCAAGGTCAAGGTCTTAGTTAAGAGGATTTCTTATTGAATGCAGAGTAAAATCCAAAATATAGATTCAAAGTTTTGGAGGAGCCCTAATGCTTCACACATTTTGTGTTCTCTTTTGGAAACTTAACCTAATACAGGAAGAATTCAAGCCTGTGCATCAGAGCAGTTATTCAGAAAGAGTAAATACTATTTTTAATGGTCATATCTAAATCTTGCAATAAATTCGGTTGATCCTAATTTTATATACCACTGGCTGTTGTAACTGAGAGCTCTGTAGGGGCGATGCCAGTTTTGGTGATTGTGGCATGATATTGGAATGAGTTTTCAGGTTCACTTCAGAGAATCACAGAAACACAAAATCAAATAGATTGGAAAAAATCTCCAAAACTGTTGAGTCCAAACCTATGACTGATCATCACCTTGTCAACCAGACCATGGCACTGAGTGCCACATCCATCTTTCCTTAAACACCTACAGGGACAGCGACGCCACCACCTCCCTGGGCAGCTTATTCCAATGTCTAATCACCGTTTCTGTGAGGAAATTCCTACCAGAGCCCAACCTAAACCTCCCCTGGCGCAGCTTGAAGCCATGTCCTCTCATCCTGCCTGGTTAGGCGGGAGCAGAGCCCGACCCCACCTGGTACAATCTCCTGTCAGGGAGTCCAAGCCTCCTTTTCTCCGGGAGGAACAATCCCAACTCCCGCAGCTGATCCTCATGGCACTTGTGCTTCAGACCCTTTCCCAGCTCTGTTGCCCTTTGTCCAATGTCCCAGTGTCCTTTCACCCCGTGCAATTATCACATCCATCTGTCAGTACGGGTGGATTGGGCTGTTTAACCAAACACTTCGGCAGCAAACCGCTCAGGCTGTGCTTTTCACCGGTCGGGCTGTACCGGCGGCTGAGCGGGCTCCGAGGGGCGGCGGCTCCCGCGCCGGGCAGCGCTGAGGCGGAGCGGGGCCGCGCCCGCCCCTCGGCCGCGCGGAGCACTGCGGGAGCGCGGTGCTCGGCCAGGCGCCTGCCCGCCCTCAGCCTGACCCCGCCGCGGCCGATCCCGCCGGCCCGGCTCCCCTCGCCTGGGGAAGGCGCGGGGGGCGCTCCGTGAGGGCGGCACCGCCGCGTCCCCCCGGGCGGGGAGGGACGGCCCGTCCGCAGCGCGCGTCACGTGACGGCGGCGCGGCGGCGGTGACAGCGCCGGGACCGCGGCCGGGCCAGCGCCATGGGCAGTGAGTGCGGGCGGGCCGGGGCGGGCCGGGGCCGGGGCCGGGGCCGGGGCGGGCCGGGGGGGAAACAGCGCCGGGAGGACGCGGCCGGTGATGGGGCCCCGTGCTGCGGGTGCCGCCGCAGGCAGGGCCGGCGGTGCCGAGCACCCGCTCCCCGCGCAGGGTCGGTGCTGCCGGGCACGGCGTGAGGCCGGGCACTGCTTCGTGGTGGGGTGACATGTTCCACTCTAGCCCTACTGTGTATATATAGACACTGTATACACGTATGGAGCATATGTACCCTATGTACGCATATATATGTGTGTATAAGTGTTGAAAGGGTGGGTGTCAGAGGATGAACCAGGCTCTGCTCAGTGATGCCACCCAACAGGACAAGAGGCAAAGGGCAGAAACTGATGTCCAGGGAGTTCCACCTGAACATGAGGGAGAATTTCTGTCCTGAGCAGTGACCGAGCACTGGATCAGATTGTCTGAGAGGCTGTGGAGTCTCCCTCGCTGGAGATATTCCAGAAGTGTCTGGACACATCCCTGTGCCCTGTGCTCGGGGATGGCCCTGCTTGAGCAGGAGGTCGGAGCAGATGAGCCCTGTGGTCCCTTCCAGCCTGACCCATCGCATGATGCTCTGGTAGCTTGTTCACAGTGGAGCTGTGCCACCCTCTGTGGAGTGAGGTGCGCCTTCCAACCAGCGGTGTGAGCGCTTGGGATACATAGAGGATACATATGCTACATTAGAGTGTATATGTAAGCGTAGCACTACTGCCAAAATGTTATTTACAATGTAGTAAATGCATTCTGCAGTGTAATAAATGTATTCTCTTTGTAAATGAATGGTGGCTTTTCATGTCTATCCCAGTGTGTTGGGGCTGGAAATAATAGTCAAGTTTTGAAGGGCAAATTCCCCACCAAGCACATACGCTTTGATTTTTTTTCCCC